GCCCGCACATCTGGTGATTCGGGGGAACACCGTGGGAGACGCAGGGCTTCCTGCTCCGGGGCCGGACCGCCCGGGGAGACCGGCCTGCTGGTGCTGAGCCGGGCAGGCGCCTGCTGGCCCTGTGCCCCCAGTGTCCCCACTGCGGGTGGCTGCGTGGAAGGCGCCGCCTGGAGGTCCCACAACCACCCGCGGTGTCAGCACTGGCGGGGCTCACAGCCAGCCCCCTGGTTTCAGAAAGGAGGCAGACGCTGTCTGTCCCCTGACACGCGAGGAAACCGAGGCTCAAAGAGCCCGAAGTCCCATAGCTGATAAAGTGGCGGAAATGGGACAGGATCTCCGGGAGGATGAGGGCCCCCTGGCTTGCTCTGGACCAAGCCATGGACTTGAGCATGGCTGCTGGGTGCACAGGCCCCGGGGACCCCTTCAAGGTAAAGCCACCACCTGAAGGGAAGGCCAGGAAGCCACGGCAGGACCGGCGGCACCCTCTGCAGGGGCCGGCGCAGAAAACGTGCACGCAGAGCCCAGGACAGTGACCACAGGAGGGAGGGGCCCCCTCACGGGGCCCTGGGCCGCGCCCGGGCCTATGAGTCAGTGTGAGAGAGAAACCAAGACTCCTAGTCAGATTTATTTTCCTCTAATCAGACAGTTTAGCATTTCAAAGTTTTGCATTCTACACTCTTACAAACTTTAGTTATTAGCATCAGAAACACAAAAACGTTGCAAGACCTCCAAACACAAATAAATACCAAATAAAACCGCACACAGTATACAGTAAACAAAAATATCAAACATAATAATGCTACCAGGAAGTCAGCCATGTTGCTAACCCACAGTAACAACATGATTATTGCTGGGCAATAACTTACACTGTCCTTTTGTGTTTTTTTCTTAGAAGAGCAGAAGAACACGGGACGTGAATCACTGGTCACAATCACTTGGACTGTCGAGATGGGTCCTCACAGCGAGCGGTTATACAGATGCAATTTTTAAAACAGGCAGGTTAAAATTAGAGAGTCAAATGAGAGATTGGCCTTCTTTGGTCTTTGTTTTGGGTAAGAGAACTGAACGCAGAGGGTGCCATCAGAGAAAGAATCGATTCTGGAAATGCGACACAACTGCGTGGATTTACACACCTCCTTTACCACAGACGTTATTCTACAGAGAATTCTTATAGAAATCCTTGAGAATCATGCCAGCTTTTGTGTTTACCGATTAAGTCGTTGAGTTTGCTGTGGAAGTTATCTCACTGGTCTAAGGGGACTGAGTTACGACCCGATCACCACGAACCGCAGGAGTGGTGCAGCCGTCCTGGACTCCACCTCTCTCGTCGTTGAGTTCACAAGACAGACTCTAGACACAGCAGCAGTGGCAGAAATGAAATGCGAGCACTGCTTGGTGCCACTCGGGCCTCCCCGCAAACGGCACCAACCACCTGTGGCCTGGGTCACCCGAGGCCAGCAGAAAACGCCCGGGACACTTCCAGGTCTGTGCCCTGCCCCCCGCTGCCCCGGGGCCCTGGTGACAAGCAGCACCGCCCGACAGACAGGAGAGACCGAACAACCGGGTCACCTGCCCTCGCTGGAGCCTCACGCCGACCTTGTCTGACCCGACCCTAGTGGACACGTTGTACTTTGGAAAAAACACAACTATCAAGATTTGCAAACAGAAGGCAGAACCATGGTCTTGGGCTGAGGAGGGGATTGGGTGACAGACCCCCCCCTTCATGTCACAGATGCGAAGGAACTCCCGGAATTCCCCGCAGCTCTCCTTGGCGGCCTGATCAGTAAAGATCTAGACTAGAAGTTAAAACATAGTATTTTACGGCTCCGCCTGAGCCCTTTCCAGCACTGATAATCACTGCAAGCAGAGGGACACGTTTTGGAGAGCGGAGGTGTGGGCAAGAGGCCCCACGAGGAATCTCATCTCCTGCCCAAGCTCGTGAAGACAGGCAGGGATGCTGGGGCCGGAGAGGTCTGCGTCCGGCACGGGACGATGGGCACTCCTCCACGCGCAGGGGCGGGCCTGGACGGCTGGAGGAGCCAGCGCGCCCCCCAGGGTGCACTCGGGGTCCTGCCTCTCCCCCCACCCCCTCGGGGCCCTGCTGTGCCTAAGGGTTCGTCCAGCCGCCCTTTCCTCTGCCTGAAGTTGCCCACGGGCTGCAGGATGCCGGGCACACCGCGGGCGACCACCCCCGTGACGCGGAGTATGCAGGGGGGGTCGACAGGGACGCGCGGCCCTGGGCGGCTGGGGACGCTGCAGGAGACGAGCTGCTGGGGAGAGGCGGCGCCGTCCTGGCCGGCGTCTGAGGGGCCCGGTGGAGTCGGCCACCAGGACAGGGAGGTGACAGGCGGGGGCAGGAGGGCCACCTGGCCAAGAGCCTGGGCTCAGCTGGCGGCTGCGCTCTGGGGCGGGGCCGGGGTGGCGGGGCCGGCGGCCCTCCTCGACGGCCGCTCGGTGACCGCGCCTGACTCACTCTTGGGGGCTGGTGCCACCCTCTCGTGTGACAGGTCTTGGAGCGATTTATGCGTCTCCTCTGCGTTACCACAAACCCGGGAAACTGAGAACCCCAACCTGTAAAAAGAGGCCCAGGTGAGCTGCCCGGGCTGCTCCGGCCCCAGAGCCAGAGCCCGGCATTCGCTGGCCCCGCCGGCTGGACACCCTGGCCCCCCACCCCTGACCAGAGACCTGCAGGCAGGCAGACCCGGCCAGTCTTCATTTCCAGGACAGGCGATGACGGGGAAGCAGGGGCGCTAACCCTGCACGGGACTCGGCGTCGGTTCCTCTATGGCACTGGAGCGGTTTTGTTCTGTGCGGAATCTGTCACTTTCGGTACACGGGAAAAGTGCACCCACACGCCGTGTCCGACACCATCACTTTGTCGCTGCGGCCCTGGTGGCGGGAGGGCCCGCAGGCACCAGGGAGGCGTGCGACCCGCTACCACCAACCGTCACCGAGCCACGGCCTGAAGCTCCCGCCGCGTCCCAGCCTCCCGCCGGGGGACAGTGAAGCTGGGTCCCTTGGGCTCCTGGGTGGCGGCCAGGGGCCTGGCGTCTCCCACCGGGAGGAGCTGCTGGAAAAGTCCCCCCACCAAGGGACGGATGCTTCTGGGGCGCTGCCAGCGGCCCGCCCCCAACAGGATTCCAACCCAGGGGAGGGAAAGAATTTTTTTTTACCAGACCGAGATGTTGCTTATCCTGAACTTGTTAACATCGCCCATACTTTCTGTGAAGGGGAGGAAGTCCCTGTTGGTAACCCCTGGCCTCGGGAGAGCCATCTGAGGCCGGGTGGGGCCTGCCGGGCAGCCTCCCTCCCCCGGGTCTCCAGGGCAGAACCAGGCCCAGGCCTGGAGGAGGTCTGGGCACTTGGGGGGAACAGTGGTCCCACAGCACCTGCAGGAGGGCCCTCCTCTGTGAGCGGGGACACACGACTCCTTACTGGGCAGAACCGATGACACTGATTCGCCCTCAAAGCAATTCTGGGGTCAGGGGATGGGAAAGAAAAACTGACGAAGACAACTGAGCATTTTAACTGCCGAAGGGCAGGGCAGGTGCTTGGAACCCATGAGGTCACTTATGGAAGCCTGGGACGGCGGTGGCCAGGAGGTGCTTCCAGCAGGCACTGGGGCGAAGGCACACCCAGGGCGGAGGGCAGCACCAGAGACACGGGGGCCACCGGGCACCACCCCGCCGTCCCCCGCGTGGCCGTGGCCACGGGGAGCCCGGAGGCAGGCAGTCTGAGGTGCGCGGCCCAGCTGGCCAATCGTGGGCGCGTCTTTTGGATGAGTGGCACAGATGCGGCGGTTCACACACATTGGTTTTGCCTAAGAAGCACCCGTCACGTGTAGCACCCATCAGTGGTAAGAGCACCCATGGAGCGTGGTGCATAGCAGGGGGCACAGGAGCAGGGCCCCGCTCTGTCACAGTTGGACCATTGAGAGAAGGTAAACGGGGGTGAGAAATGCCGCCCGGACAGGCGCAGGCTGGGACCAAAGACCCCAGGGCCACCCTTCCCAAGAGAGGGGCGGGCCCCGGGATGCCTGTGGATCAGCCTGGGTGGCCCCCGGGTAGCAGTCTCTGGAATGCTCAGAGGGCCCCGCGGCGGGTGGTGTGAGCGCCCGCAGCCCGGGGATGCAGAGGCGCAGCTCCTGCCCTATCCCTGCCTGCGTGTGGACTGGGCGGCTCGCTTTTGGGGCCTAGAGATTTGGAATCTGTGATAATGAAGCAGTGGAGGCTCCAGAAGCCGACGAGGGGGCCCGGCTTCCTCAGCAGGTACAGGGCTGTCTGAGGGCCCTCGAAGAGGCAAAAGGTCTAGTGATCAAGAGAAAGGTCTGGCTGAACTATCACCTTCTGGAATTATAGTGAACACAAAGCTGGGGTCGAGAAGCAGCATGTCACATCTAAGGCACATGTACAGTATGCCACCATCTCTACGCAAACGTTGTTAACAAATGCAGCAATATGACAGGATGAAGAAACACATCTGCTGTGGCCTCCTTCAAGCACAAGTCACCTGCCCACCCCCGGACACTGGACACGGAAGGTCGGTGTTGTCAGCAATAGAGAGCTTGTCTGAACACGTGGGGCAGAATTTTAAAAACCTACAGGATTTTGTTTAGAACTCCAAAGTTCAACTAATGCCCTATTTTAGGGTGAAAACAATTATAAATCTGAAAATGATGCACAGCATCCATGAGCAATTTTCCTTTCATAATAATTTTGAAGGAGTGTCATTAACTACGACAGATATTGAAGGTTTACATTTCTAACGAGAAATAACAACAGATTGAATATTCCTTTCCTATCACAAGTGATAACCAGTGTTTGATATTTTACATTTTCTTCCAAGAAATATCAGTCTATCAACGTTTTAAAATGAAATGTTTGCAGTAACAATTATCTTAGAACTTTAAATTAAAAAACGATTCTGAATTTAGAGACTTTCAAAAAAGACCTAGGTGCACTTCAGGGTCTTCTGACAGAGTATTGAAGCAGAGACCAGATGAGGCCTTAAAACAGACAACGGGCTATGTTTGAAACAGGACTGCACTCTTGAATCTTAGAATGAATATAGCAGAACTGCATTATGATTTCATAAATTCTCCTTTTACTTAACATGCTGACATGTCCAGCTATCCCCAGGTATGTGCATGTGTGTGTGTGTGTTTGTGTGTGTGTGTGTGTGTGTGTGTGTGTGTTCTTTTTTCGGTGTTTAAGGAAGAAAAATCATGGTTTTTTTCTTTAGCATATATGTTTTCCACCTTAATTAACTAGATCTTTAAAAATGAAAACGAAAACCTTCTCTGACAGCAGTATTTCTCTCGTCGAAGGATAAATAATTCTTCCAAGTGAAGTGTTGCTAGTCTATTAGAAAACGTGGTGTGAGTGTCCTGACGCGTGGCTCCTCCCGCCGGCCCGCAGCCACCTTCTGCCGCTTCCTCCGTTCCACAAGGTCCGTTTCTGGGCGTGAGGACCTCGGTGGAGACGGCCGGTTCAAACCCCGCAGAGGAGTTGCCTTCTGCTCAATCCGCCTCCCCAGAGACTCGTCAGGGGTCTGGCAGGTCCGAAGTATCCACTATGACTTTGATAAAAATGGTATCATCTTTAATGTACGTCCCATTTTCCAGCACAGTCTGGGCCACGAAGACTGGGCAGCCGGAAGCGATGTTCATCTCGCCGGTGGGCTTCTTGAAGCTGCTGCTGTTGGGGTCCGGCTTGAAAGCATCCCCCAAGTGTCGCCGGGAGGACCCCTGGTCCATCAGCATGAGTGTCACCTTCTGCTTAAACGGCCAGGGAAGCAGAGCGGCGGATTCTCCGCGCATGATGACAAAAAACAGCGACAGGTGCGTCCCCTTGCCCATGCCATCCCCGTTCAGGTAGACCCTGGCGCACATCTTGTAGCCAAAATAGCCGGTGTAGAAAGGCTGACTATAGAGGGACAGGGTCTTCCCCATGACGGCCTCCTGCTTCCGCCGCTTGTAATCCCGGATCTTCCAGATCAGCACGCCGTTGTAGCTGGCGGTCTCCAGGACCTGGAACCGCAGGTCCATGTCAGCCAGGCGGATGTCGTGGACACTCAGCATCTGGTCGTGCCGGCTCAGCTGGGACTCCAGCAGGCCTGCGGTGGGCGGGAGAGATGGGCGCGGAGACACGTGACTATCACAGGGGCTGGAGAAGCCGATCCCCACCAGCATCTGAGCAGAAGAGCCCAAACTCCCTGCAGCTGCTGGGGGGTGGTGCATGTCCCGTGGAGGACCGGAAACGCAGGCCTCGGGATCCCTGGGATCCACAGCCTGCTGAGAGGCGACAGCCTGGGCTGCCTGCCCTCTGGCTCACGGCCCCTGCCTCCAGCCCCCACGCTCGGGGTCAGCTGCGCCCTATCAGGGCTTAAGCTGCTCCTCCCCGCACCCCACTCCACATCCTTGGCTGGCTGAATCCAGCCCCAGGTGCATCACAATAATCCTTGTTCTTTCCCCCATTAATCCTTCTCGTGCAGATATTCAGAATACTCGCTCGGCCCTTGAAGCAGCGGCCCCGGTGGCTTCTAGGTATCGGACACGCTGCTGGGCTCGCCGGGTCCCCTGCTGCCTCTGGTCACCTTCTGTCCCCCAGGCCTTCAGGAGCGGGTCTGGAGCACCCGACCCGCAGGCCGCCCCAGGCCCACTCTGCCACGCAGGCCTCACTGCACGGAGGGGAGCGTCTGGGCCCCTGCTGTGGGCATCTCGGTAGGAAGCCAGCTGCGCCGGCAGGCGGCGCATCAGGAGCACCGGCCGTGACTGGACGGCGCCGGCCTAAGGCAGCATGCGCCTCGCCTACCTCACGAAGGTGGCCACAGCTCTGACCTGGGGCCCCGGGACCCGGCCAGGCTCCCCTGTCCCGGGGCCTCCCAGACCCGCACGGCTCTCACCTGTGTTCCGAGCTGCCTGCCCCGCGCTCTTGTCCACGCTCTCCAGCTCGGTCACCCGGCTCTGGAGTGACTCCACACTGCTCTTCATGCTGCCTGCCTCCTCCCAGCTCTGCCGGAAGGGGCGGATCTCTTTGTCGAGCTCCTTCAGTTTCTCTGCTTGGCTGTCTATTACTCGCTTCCACATCAAAGGTGTGAAAAAGGCAAAATACAGTTAGAGCTCGCTGCCAGCGCTGCGCCACTACCATCAGACGCCCGCTGGTCAGGAACAGGGAGCCCGCATCAGCCCTCACAGGGCATCTTACCTTACACCCACGGGCATCTCGGGGGACACAGGGAACCAAGCCCCTAGTTCCAGGAGGGGACCGAGGCCTCACCCACCAACTGCAGGGCATGCGGCTCCCACATCCCTCTGTCCTAGCGTCTCAGCTCAGGACTTGGAGTCACACTCATCGGCCCCGTCTGAAGGCCTCCATCCCCTGCAGGGTCAAGCGACCAGCAGAGGCCAAACTATGTGGGCCTCCAGGGCCAGAGGGGCTGCCCTGTTTCTGTGGCGGGAAGAGTGCTCAGAACCCCGCCTGGGTCCCAGAAGAGAGAGCTGCCACCACACTGCCACCTGGCTCCAGAGACCTGGCTGCCAGCACAGGGCTGGCAGCAGGACAGGGCCCTGGAGACAGGTCCTCGGGGCCCCGGGTGAAGCCAAGGGGCCAGTGCCTATTGGCGGGGTGGGTGGGGGTCTGTTCCCTGGACGCGCTCCGCGACCAGCGCCCCCTGCCCACTGGGGCAGAGCAACCCTGCTGACAAACACGTGGCTGTCGACAGCGAGGCTTGATTTAAATAATTCAGAAACCCCCTTTTCCAGAAGCACATGACCAGCACGTCTGTAACAGTAACTGGAGGGGTGAGCCTGGCGTGCCAGCCATGGCGGCCCAGTTTGTCTGCAGGACTGGCCTGCCCACTTGTTAGATGAAGCCAGGGACCCAAAGAGTTTTCACTTCTAAAAAGAATTTGCATTTTTGAAATAAAGCTCCTGAAGGCTGGGTGGTTCAGCCCCTGAAGCTGTGGAGTGGCTGGGCCGCCCTTGAGGCTGAGGCCACACAGGGGAGAGCCCCGGGGACCTGCCGAGTTCACTTCTCCTTTTGGGAGACTATTTTTAACGTCGAGGTTTCAGCACCTTTGCTGGCTCTTAATAACCATGAAGGAACAAACACGTAGGCTTGGGTTACTTTTTCTGGGTAAAAATACAGTGTTAATCTTCTTTCCAAGAAACCCTGACATTGGCTAACATTTAAAAAGTAAAGACGATTTCTCTAAAGAACACTTCTTTCTACACCGATACCACTTTATTTTAAAATATATATGGTGAGAAGCATAGTTAGTTCACAAAGTCTATTTTCTGGGGACAATCCTACTGACATGAATGAACGCCCACACCCATAAGGAACAGCTGTAATTTTTCTCCTGTCCTATACCTACTCAAGTGACAAAATGACAAACTAGGCTGATGTGGGTACTAGTGAGAATAAGAGGAGGGTTAATGGAAACCTAAACAATCAGCGGCAGTTCCTTGGTGGACCTCGTTGTAAACCATGATGACAAGCTGCTCATCACTTCCAAGCCCCCCTCCCCAGCCCCGGGACTGGTGGCACACACGGGACAGTGGCACGAACGCGTGAGTTGCTCTCGAGAGGGAGCAGAACCGTGGAATCTGAAATGACAGCAAGGCCCCCAACTACAAGCCAGGAACATGGAGTCAGCAGGCGGGTGGCGGGCAGGAGGGAACATGGGAGCGAGCACACGCGTGCACACACACACACAGACAAGGCCCAACCACTGTTTAAAAGGCACTCCTCACACAGCAAGGGAAAATGTGCTACTTTCAAACAGACCCTTCATTTGTAGAAAGGGTATGAGGTCAAAGCAGAATGCTGACCTAAACCAAGCTTTCTCTGTAAGATGCAGCAAACATGATTTCATTCTTGAAGAGCGG